CACCTTGCTCGATTGCCGTCGAAACTTGATCGGAGGGTCACTGGACATCTTTTGTTGTATGACCCGACATCTTCGCTGATTATTTTGGTGGGAGGTGAAATCAGAGTTATCGCACTGGACATCTTTTGTTGTATGACCCGACATCTTCGCTGATCATTTTGGTGGGAGGTGAAATCAGAGTTATCTCTACTGGATTACTTGGAGAAAAAGAAGAGAAGACAAGAGAGAGAAGATAGAGAGAGCAGCGTTTTTCTTAATCGTGTATCTCAATTGTGTTTTTTGATCCCAAGAGATTTGATATATATATAAACTACAATAGGGACCCCAAGGCGGCATTAAATTGGGCTTCTCTTATTAGGACGAGACTGTAGGCCAAGCCGAAGTAGGAATAATCCAGTCATTCCACTGAAATAGTATTATTGAATAAACTCACAATTTAATTCCTGAATTACATTAGAGACCCTAAAAGTAATTACTCGATCTATCTCCACGTGTTTAAGATATAATGTTCATAAATTAATTCAATTACTGACAATTAAGAATTAATTGACTTCTTGAACCGAGACTAGTACCACTCATAGCTTTATTATTATGTCGGAATAAATTCTACTGGCCAAATTTAACCTAATAATCCTTCATGACCTCATCTTGGGGACATTACCAAACTATCGCACACGGCCGTACCAAAACATGAATACTATTGATCCACCAAAATGGGTCTCGATTATGGTGAATCGAAGTAGCAATTACTGTATGCACGTGCTTGTTTATATCATATGGGTTAAGAGTATGCAATAATTAACCGAGGCCTAGTTCGTTTACAATGATCAGTATAAAACGAACTTCGCATATCTGGGGATACGTTCAATACACAGTGCACTAGTGTAACTAATCAGTTAAGACCAACTGTATGGTTAACACTACAACCGTTCACGATGGGTTGTTCATTTCCATCTAAGTTGTGAACCTACTATTCTTGTTTCACAAGTTACTGATAAAATGATCTTCTGTTAAACCGCTAATGAATCATTTTAACTAAGTTCTAAATAACAAAACATAGACTTGTTCAATTAAACATGATTCTAATTAAAACGAGACTTAGTGTAAATATCATCTAAAGTCAAGCTTTCAGTATATACACTAACAAAATGGGCATGTGAAAGTAGTCTTCTCTTGATCCTCGGGTGCAATAGGTATTTGGTGAAAATCTGAGTAGCCATCAGACAATAATAATATGGCCAGCTAATCGTTGAAGCATTTGATAATTAAATGACAATAGGAAATGATCCTTTCGTTTCAATGCATTCAAAGCTTGGTAATCTACACAAACCCGACACACGTTTTGCTCACGAGCTGCTATAAGCTCACCTCAAAATTCTCTACTACTATAATACATGTCGTATTGGGCACAACTTGAACCGGACTTACCCCGAGTGCTATCTGAGATTGGATAGATAATTCTTACATCGAGAAGATTCAAATATTCTTTCTTTACTACATCCATCACTTGTGGGTTAAGAGGACGCAGGGCTTGTCGAGAAGGCTTACTTTTTTTTTAAGCAATATCCTACGAGTACACGTGGAAGGGTCCAATCCTTTAGTGTCCGCGATCGTCCACCCAATAGCCTCCTTGAATTTTCTAAGAACCTGAATGTAGCGCCCCTTTTTCTTTTAATAAGCTTGACATTTCATTTTGTTCCATTGCTCGACTTAGTTTAAATCTCGATTCTTATTTCTTCTTTTGTTCCCTTGTTTTATTAAATTGTTCCAAGTGTTAAGTGTGTTTAAGTGAAACTATGTGCTTAATTGTATTTTGTGTGCTTATTTATGTGATAACTAGTATTCGACCTGTGCATTTGCACAAATATATAATTAAAGTATTGAGAGTTATTTGTATGCATATAATGATTACTGATTTGTGTCAAATTTACAATTAACGGATCTGAAATATTTTTTTTTTAAATGCATTTATCATATTGGATGCAATGTATATTTTGGTAAGTATCTTTTTTTGTGAATTATTTATTATTTATTTTAGAATTTCAAATACGTTTTTTATTTTTCGAAAAAAAAATAATTTAAATGTAACCACAACAATAACATCTAATCACGTAAAATAGTAAACATATTATATGGTCAGCTGCCAATAAATAAAAAATTTAAAATAATATTTGTAATTTTGAAGTGATTAGTGTAATTAATTACTAATCAGCCGCTCCCCTCCTTAATCATAAAAATCGCCGCTCCCCTCAACCTCCACTCTTGTCGTTGATTTCTCCCTCTTCGGTCGTCAGGGTCCTCAGGTAGGCGTCCTCCAACGCTCGTCCATGGAGCTGTCGCCGCTCGGCCTTCCATCGATTTCTCACTGTCGTGATTTGGCGATTGGGGAACTTTTTCTCCGCCCGTCAGTCGCGGTTGCTTTGGGATGCTCGGTGTCTGTCGGCTTGTGAGATGGTTCCATGGACGAGGCTCGGCGTGTTGCTCTTGGATCCATACTCGCGAAGCTTCTTTGGCCTCTTCTGTACCTCCTGCCATCGGCTCTCTCCGTCCCTCTGCACCGGCGTTGCGGCGAAGGGCTGGGTCAACCTCTATTCTACCGTCCGGCTGGGCCAATTGGAGGTTTCCCCTCGACTTTTTGCTTGCTTTGTCTCGGTATTCTTTCGCGGTGGCCGACGGAGTGCCCATTCGCTTTTTGGTGGCCGGTTTCTGTGATTTCTGGCTAGGGTCCGTGTTCTGGTGGGACCGGTGTTTGGGTCTTGTTGGTGCTGGGAGGTCTGGCCGTGTTCTTGTCACCGGGGGTCGGGTTGAAGGATGTTGCACTTGTTGGTTTGAGTCGGCAATGTCGAGCCATGTTGCTACATGTGTTTGGTGTGTGGGCTGGCACATTGAATGGCTCAGGGGTGCAGTTTCTTGTCTTGCTAGGCCTTAAGCAGTGGCAGATGAGCTTTCTTGTGCTTTGGAGTTGTTCTTGGTGCTGGCTTTGTCTCCTGGATATCTTGTCGATTCGTTTGAGGGAGGCTGGAGATTTTAGGTTTATCTTTTAGTGTCTCGAGTCTTTGTTGTTAGGGTCTATTGGCTTGGGGGGACTCGTGATTTGAGGTTCTACTCAGCTAGGCGCTGGCAGTGGAGGGGTCGATTTACTCTCATTGTGAGGTTTCCCTGGGTTGATTGGTTTTCTTTTGAGTCTGTGTTTGTTGTATTTTTTGGTCTTGTATTTTTGGTCTGGGCCGTTGGCCCCTGTGCTCCCGAGTGTCACCTTATTACCCTGTTGGGGTCCGACACCCGGATATTACCCTGTTGGGGTCTTTGTGTTGTGTTGTTTGTGTTTTTTGTGTCTTTATTACCCCTTTGGGGTCGTGGTCGAGTAGTTGGTCTGTTTAGTTCTAGTTTTTATTCTAGCGGTGCTAGCGGGATTCTAGGCGGACTTCTGACCTGTCCTCCCTTTTTATTCTCCCGTTAGGAGCTTTGTATTGTTATTCGCACATTTGTGCGCTTTTGATTTATAATAGTTCCTCTATCGTTCCGGCAAAAAAAAAAAA